ATGCATCCGTGACCAGAACACAGCCCGCCAGCTCACGACCTTCTGTATGCTTCCGGTGACTTCCAACATCAAGGCAGCGTATGAGCCCAACTCCCCCACATGCCCAGCCAATCAGAACCTGCCATCTTTCGCACCGGCGTCGTCACCGTACTTTGGGCCATGCAGATGCAAAACAACTAGCTAGCGCTGCGCGGGAGCCCAAAACAACGCGTCTTCTTAAATGTTAGGATCCCCAGATTTTTCTGTCGTTTAGTAATTTTCCTGCCTTTTGGTGATTGTGTGACGTTTGCCAGTTCTGAAGATGGCGGAATTAGTTGTTGCGGGCCCGCCTGCCCCACCTCCGATGACGTTTCGCGATCGGTTGTCGCAGTTTAGGATCTTGGAGGAGAAGAGGTGCGAGCTTATCGAGGTATGCTACTGGAGGCGTCCTGGGTACCACGGTGGATTTGACGATGGAGTAGGAACTCCTAGACAAGCTCGAAAAGACGGAAGCACGCCTCGCACAGTGTGAACTCGACCTCGGCTCCGAACAAAATGTCAGGCGGACACTGCAAGCGGAAATCGCAGATGTCACGCGGACGATGCAAGGGCAGCTTTCAGAGTCCAAGGCAAAAGAAGAGGCTCTAGTGCAGTCGCAGTCCAAACGACCGTTCGTTATGGTGCTTATAGATGCCGATGCCGAAGGCTTCCTGGTATGTGTTGTAGTATACTTCTACTCAAGCATCTTAGCTGACCGTCTCAGTTCCAAGACAAATACATAACACGAAAGGCTCAAGGCGGCGAAGCATTAGCAGATGAACTGAACATACGGATAAGGGAATACTTGCGGGAGCTGTACGAAGATGCCGACTCACTCGACATCATCGTCCGCATATATGCCAACTTGGAGGGTATGGCCAACTACCTTGTACGACTTGAGAAGGTTCGGAACTTGGGTCAGCTACGAGCCTTCTCGACTGGCTTCTGCGGTAGGATAACGAGCTTCGACTGGATCGACACTGGAGTCGGCAAGGAAGGCGGAGCAGGAAGAAAAGTGCGAGGTATGTATCCACGCATGCTCGAGGTGGAAGGTCGCGAAGTCTCTAACATGACACAGAAAACTTGTCGTTTTTCGCATCGAACACGCACCTACGGCACACGATAGTCGCATGCTCGCCTGTCGACCTACCCGCTTCTCTCCTCACCTCCATACCACTCGAGAAGCTGACGCTGATCGAATCTCTCCCGCTACCTTCTTCGCTTACAACACTGCCTCTGAAAACCGCCAAGTTCCCCTCTCTCTTCCCTCCTCCGCCACCCACCAAGAACGCAAAGCCCAGTCGAGAGCGCGGCCGAAACGAGCGAGGACTAAGCGAAACCGATGTGAGAAGAGGAGACAGGGACATGCGAAGAGGAGATGAGAGAGGCGGAGGACCACAACTGCAGCTCATGGAACAGGAGCATGAGGGAGGCGGCTCAACGTGGCTGGTCATACAACCCGAGAGGAGCAAGAGTCAAGCTGTTAGCGGAAGAGACAGGGACAGAGACAGGAGGAGGGCTCCAAGCGAAGATGACACTAGCAGCTTGAGCATCAGTATCGGGCCAGATAACACCGTCAGCGTTGACAGTGGAAGACGGCGGAGATTGATGGGCTAGTTTCGGTTTGGCATGCAGAATCTGGGATCTCTGTTGCGAGGGGAGCTGTCACGTCGCGTACTATTTGATGAGTTTGATAGCATGGCATAGCATAGCGTAGCGGCATATATTCGTAGTGTTCATCTTACGCTGGCATAGTGGCGGGCAGTACAGCCGGAAATCTACAGCGTTTGTCGGAAGCCTTCTTGGCCCTCCAGCATCCTCTCTCCACGATCAGCTTGGCGATTAGCTCGTGAGTAGACCCAGAAGTTCTTCAGTATGTGCAGGATGCTTAGTACTTGGGTCGCGATGACGACAGCCATGGCGGGTCTATGCATGTCAGCTTTATATCCTCTTAAATTATAATGTATGGAACTTACATGTACTTGGGCGCATCCTGTTGTCGGAAAATGTTCGATGCTGCGATACCCCCACAAGCTCCACCTCCAATCAACAACGCACTTGCAACACTCCTCTTCATCTGCCCGACGATGTTGTTGTGCATATAACTCAGTATGCTCGGCACGTTCGCGTTCGCACCACTGACGCCCAGAAAGACTCCGGCATACCTTGCGCGAGCGTTGCTTAGGAAAGCCATCATGCACACTCCCAAGACTGCCCATGCGCAGTTGAACACGATTATTGCACCGCGCATTCTATATTTGTCGGCGACCCATGCCGTACCGAACATCCAAGCGGCCGCCAAGACATATGGCGGGAAAGACAGGATCTGGCTCATGGCGACAGAGTAACCCATATCGTTGCGGAGGATGATTGGCAGGAAGTATCCCCAGCTATATGCGACGACGTTGTTGAGGAAGTAAAGCCATGCGAACTCCCAAATCTTCCAGTCGCGGAGATGTTTGGCGATGGTTGAACGGGTAAGTTTATCGGCGACCGCATCGCCACGGTCACGTTGGATGCGGGCCAGAACTATGTTGGCTTCCGCATCGGTCAGGAAAGGGCGTTTTGTGATGGGACTGGGTTGGCTGGCTTTATCGGGGAAGTCAATGATGGTTATGTAGCCGAGGAAGCCCAGCAACATGGTGATGGCACCTTCCTAGTATCTGTCAGCAACTGGTAGAGAGTATGGAGGCGCTTGACGTACGATCGCAAAGATCCATTGCCACCCATTTAGGCCTCCTAGTCCTCTCATCTCACTCAGACCCCAAGCCAAGATGTTTGAGAAACCACTTGCAAGAAGCGCTAGCAGGTAGAACCCACTAAACCTTTTTTGCACCTCAAATCTCACATACCAGCAGCTCAACAAGAAGACACAGCCTGGGTAGTAGCCTGCTTCGAGCACACCCAGTATGATTCGGCAACCTAATGCTTGCGTCCAGTCGTTCGTAAAGCCCATGCCGATCGTGACAGCACCCCAGCAAACGACCAGGGAGGGTAGCCATACGGCAGGGCCGAGCTTTCGGATGATTATGTTGGCAGGGAACTGGAAAATTATGTATGGTATGAAGAAGATCATCGTGAGGATGGAGTAGCGCGAACCGATGGAGAGGCCCAGGTCCTCGTCCATGCCTGCGATGCGCGCCTGGAAGTTGAGTCAGTTTACGACATACAACTACAATTGAGAGTAGGCCGTACATTGGGAAGGTTAACGCGATCGATGAGTGCGAAAGCATAGATGACAGCTAGTGTTGGTAAGAGCCTGAGATCTATCTTTCGAATGATGCGACGTGTTTCCTTGTCATCCTTTTCGATAGGTGACGATGCCGGTCCCGAGGAGTCATTCGCTGGGACTACGGTGTCGTCGAGATTGACACGGTCGTCTCTACCGCCATAGCTTTTCTCGTCGAACGAGATCTTCTGTCGTCAGCGCATCGTTCCAGTAGGGCTTGGATGAACACTGACATGCTCATTCCGCTCGGCTTCAAGATCCTTCTCTTTAAGCGACATGTTTTCTTGTGGCAGACTCACCGAAACAGCATGCACTGCGCACATACACTCAGCCTTCTTATCGCTGCATCTCATCCGATTCTCCAACGATAGATCCCCGCCAAACGTCTCCCGAATCGCGGGGTGCAGCGCACATCTTTACTCAATCCGGCTATGACAGGTCGTTTGTTGGAGTAAGAGCTCGCTTCGCGGACTTAGCTTCATGCATCGTTACCTACGAAATTCAGCTTCGGCAGCGGAGTGGAGGCTTGGCTTTTGAAATGTTCGGGTGAATGAAGTTCGTGAATGACGTATGTTGACTCGACTTTGCGATGTCAGCGTCGGCAAAGGGAAGGATGAAAGCTTGAGTGAACAAGGCACTCGCTTATTTGCTGGATTCTCTGGAGGGTGTCTGCACCTGCAGTGGCGATCTCATGGTATGCGCTATGGACATAAGCGTGCCGTCCGTGAATAGGGAGTCATAGCTGCGGTTGGCAATCGTGTGGCATGGCAGCTCTGTGATGCGTTTTTCAAATGGCGATCATCGATATAATAGTTGCATCATTATCAAAAGGGAGCAGATGACATGCAGGTGGATGGCGGGGAGCAATGCGACGTCAACGCGATTGATGATAGATGATGACCACGTGAATGTTCCCAACTGGGACTAGCTTATCGCGAATCTTCCACGCTAAACTTCAACGCGTTCCCCGAGGTCCCGTTCTCAACGCCTCACTCTTCCAGCATACCCAGCGATGCCCGCCTTCTCATATGATACTATCGCAAAGGAGCGATGCTTGAACCCTAAAACAATCTTCCGCCTAAATCGCAATTGCTGTTAGTTAAGATGGTCGGATGCCGAACGCATACGCGTCCATATGGAGCACCCAATATTATCGCTGTTGGCTTGCTGACAACGAAGCAAATCTACCTGAGGTCTCAGTCCTCCGACAGTTCCACATTGATGGTTCTATAAATTCTTACGCTAGGTCTTTGGTTGCTACTCGTACGGCGCCAATACCGTACCATATTGATGTGTTGTTCTCGATCGCTTCGACCACCTTCCCATTCCTTGTTCACGGTGCAACTGCAAGTTTGAGGGCGAGCTTGACTCATCGCTCACGCGTCATTTCCTTATCAGAATCGAGTTAAAGACTCGTGGAAACAAGCCAAATCATAACCAACACCAACCGAGGATATAGCACTGATCGATCAATATCCAACATCCAACATTCAATGTCGTACAAAGAGTCACCGTACACCAACGTAGCTTGACCCAAGCTCTACGTATTCTCGTGCGCCGCGAGAGACTATGGTGTGAACCTACATCCCCTCTCGACCGCGAAATGCCGCCTCAAACCTGATATCAAGGGTCAATGCATCGACGGCTGCGTTTGCTTCGATCACGTGCAGCCGATGCAAACGGCCAGCGAAGCGGGATCAGAGTCGCTACACCTGCACGCATTTTACTCACGACCTCATCATACCATTCCGCAATGGCTTCCAATCGCGCTCGAGTGCCTGACCAGGCCTCTCCAATCCACCGTCTGGCGATCAAGTCTCTCTTCGACAGTCTTCCACCTCGCGACAAGCTCTACGCTCACTATCTTTCGCAAGCAGCCTGGCATGGAGCGCGCATCGTTCTGCGCCAGACCTCTTTAGAATCGGAAGACATCTTCGACTTCATCATAAAGGCCTATCGTGCGTGCGAGGGCGAGTGGAGCCAGTTCGAGGATGTATGCGCGGTGACCAACGACGAAGTCAAGGCTTTTTTGTGCTATGCTGGGCTATTCCTGTACAATCTCGGAAACTTCTATGTAAGCGCCAGCAGTTGTGAGAGAAGATGAGATTATGTGCTGACTGTATAGGGTGAGGGAGGTCAGAAGTTTGTGCCTGATCTTAGCAAAGAGTCTCTGGAGAAGATCGTGGGATGCGTGGGCATGACAGAACCTGCTGCTGAAAACCTTGTCGAGGCTATGACTGCAGTACCCCCGCAGGGTCTTGGATATCCGAGCGATACTGCGGTGTCGAGGTACTACCTGGGCGACCGCATCACACGTACAGAGATCAAAGAAATCCAGCTGGCCATGCAGGAAAAGGGCTATGAGCCTGAGAATACGAGGGTGCGGAAGACAACGGAACACGGATGCGCTGTCTATGAAGTTCTCCAGGCCTCGTATGATTTAGGCAGTCACAATCTTACTGCAGTAGAACGCCTTGGCGGCTCGGAAGTTACATTGATGAAAGGAGATCATCGGAACCAAGTGTCTAATATTGGCCACTAGTAAGTCTGTTTCATTTTTGATATCCAAATCATAGATGATAGCACCAAGATTTCCGGGCCTGACATCAAGACTAACAAACTACCACAGCCTCGGCCGCGCCAGCATGTACGCACAGAACGACAACCAGGTGAAGACGCTTGAACGCTACATCTACAGCCTCGTAACCGGATGTCTCGGAGCATATCGACAAGGCCAGGAAACCTGGGTCAAAGACGTTGCCCCCTCGATCGAACACATCCTCGGCTTCGTAGAATGCTATCGCGACCCCCATGGCGTACGGGCGGAATGGGAAGGCGTAGTATGTATCGCGGATCCAGAAGAAACAAAGAAGATGGAAGTCTTCGTGGCTAGTGCAGCGAAGTTCTGTACCTTGTTACCTTGGGCGACGGCGGAGAACGAAGGCAAGGGCTTGTTCGAGAAGGACGTGGTTGTCATACCCCAATGTGCGATTGTGCATGGTGAGTGCCGGCGCCCTCCATACAAAAGCGCACCTGGGCAAGCTAACGCTGATGACGCAGCGCTAACAGTCTGCTGCCCGTATGTTTGGGAAGCGTCAAATCTCCCCAACGTAAGTCTTCTTCACTGCCCTCCACACCTCAATAATCTAGTCACTCACCTCTACTTGCTCAGTACAATGACATCCGCGAGAACCACGGCTCAAAGAACATCATCATCGCCAACCGAATGAGCGCGAATCGCAACTCCTCCGGCGCATCCGTCTACCTTCAACCCCCAGACCGCGAACTCTACCGCCAAAACCTCCATACCATCCGCTTCGTCGCAACAGTTATCCACGAACTCCTCGGCCACGGCACCGGAAAACTCCTGAGCGAAACAGCCCCCGGTATATTCAACTTCGATGTCACAAACCCGCCAATTAACCCTTTGACGGGCCAAACGGTGGCCTCCTGCTACCGCCCCAACGAAACATATTGGAGCATATTCGAGGACATTGCCAATTCAGTTGAAGAGTGTAGGGCTATACTCATGTCAGCATACCTCGTCGATAACAAAGACATTCTCGCCATCTTCGGGTATGATGAGAAGACTGAGTTGACGGCTGATCACTTGGTCTACCTTTCGTACCTGCACCTTGGTGTCGAGGGGTTGCGCTCTCTCGAGCACTACAACCCCGACGACAAGAAGTGGACCCAAGCGCACAGCCAAGGTTACTTCGCCATCTTCAAGCACCTCCTCATCGAAGGCGGCGGCGTCCTCACTGTCCACCACGACGCAAACACATCCGACCTCCACGTCACCGTCGACAGTACCAAGATCATATCTCACGGCAAACCTGCACTGGGTCGCTTGATGTGTGCCCTGCATATCTGGCGGTGCACAGCAGATGTCAACGCGTGTCGACCGTTTTATGAGAACTTGACCAGTGTGGAGGGTGTGTATGAGGTGTGGAGGAAAGTTGTAGCGACGAGGCCGGAGCGGAGGGCGAAGTTCGTGCAGGGAAATACGTTCTTGAAGAAGAATGGGGAGATGGAATATAGGGAGTACGAGGAGAGTGATGAGGGAATCATTAAATCTTGGGCTGAGAGGGGACCTCTATGAGGTTGGTTGTAGGGGAATGTTTGGAGTGGGAGTGTAGGCGATTCTTGTATTGGATGATTACATATGAAGGGGTTGTGTCTGTCAGTCATGTTGCTTGGTTCTTGCGATATCTTGTACGCCGATCATGCCGAACATGGGAGAGTGACACTGTACAAGATCATGGCAGCGTGTGATGATAACTATTTGAGGTCTATTACTTAAAACACTTTGCAAGCGTCCAGCTTCCCCAACCTTCTGGAGGAGGATCTTTGATCGCGTGACGCTTCAAGTAGAGCTCCACTCCCCACCGATCAATTCCGCATACTTTGTCCATTTTGTAGTCCTTCGCCATAGACGCCAGAAGCTTAGTAGGCGGATCTTTCTCACCTTTGCTCCAAGCAACCTCGTGTTTCGTAGAGGTAATGGGCACAATGGTTTCGCACAAGAAGCCAGCGGGGCCTCCCTCGTCTCTGGTAATATCCACGATGAGCTCGCGGATATTGTACCTGGCGCGGCTAGGTGCCAGTACCAAGGTATTTTTGTCGACTTGAAGAAGGGCTTCGCAGTTGCTCAGGAAGCTTATCGGTGTATTTAGTTGTGTTGCAAATGATTCTATGCGACTCTTGTCTTGTTGATCGTAACTCCAGTCGTCGAAGATCATTGGAATCTTTGTACCGAGCTTGTGTTCTAGAAAAGAGGCTATCTCGAAGGCAAGAACAGTAAGGTATTTGTCTAGACCAGGGCTCTCGTCTAGGAGCCAAGCTGGGCCTTCCTCGTTCACTTCGGTGTATAGTTCGCCAAGCCCGAAGCAAATAATCTTGTTGATGTTGCCAGCTGGGTACTCTTCCGTCCACTTGCTTGATAAGGTGTCCAGAAACCTCTTGCGTATAGAGCTGTTTTCCCATTGTTTAAAGACGTTAAGCAAATGTTCGGGAGGCTCATAGCGGGGGTGAAACGGGCGAGGCAACATGTACATGTTGATATTCGCGTCCAGGAGCTTTGGAAAGGAATACATGATCGATGATAATCCATTGTGATGCGGCTCCGTGGCGCGCCAAGACGCAAAGTCGAACGGCGTGAAGAAACCAATGCGGCATTTCCCATAGCATGGGCTACGTAACCAAATGCGTTAGCTAGTATACTCCTGCCTTCGAAACCTGATGACTTACTCATGAGGCCCAGATGGATCTTTTTCCTGATGCTTGTTCCCATTCATGTCCATAAGCTCGCACGTAGGTTGGTTTTTAGTCAGCTGCGCGAACTGCTCCGAGTTGTACTCGATGACTTTCTTCATTATATGAACCGGTCGGTCTTCTCGCTCTCTGTGAATGTTTTTTAGGTGTTGACCAAGTTTGGCATCCCGGGCGGCATCCTGGGCGGCTTTTTCCCTAGCCTGTTCCGCAAATGTCTTTACCATGACTGGTTCAGTATGGACTCTCGACGCTCGTGCAAGTGTCGAGAAGTTTGTGGAGCTGCGAGAAAAGGGAGATTTCGAGACTGTCTGCAAGCGCGTGTCAACATGGGCAAGCTTTTATACCTCGCCATGACTGTTCCGTGTAGACATGCTGACTCCGAGTATGCGTGAGTCGAGATATCTGACTCCGGCGATCAAGTTGTTCATGCTTGCGATGGGGCGCTGATGCGCTGATGCGCTGTGCACGCAGTCAGTGTCGTTCCCGTCGACAAGATGTTGTTGATGGCTGTCGTGCGCGATGAGTCTTCAGTAGCAGAGTCTGTGTGTTGGCACGGTCATGCGCTATGGGCTTGTGCGCCGTGGTCAGGTATGACACTTAGATTCGGGCGTTCACATTCATTTCTTCCACTTCTTCCAAGCATCTACAAATCCAACCTCTTTCTTCGCTTCGTCGCGACCGCCCAAGCCACCAGCTCCTTCACCCAATCCTCCAAGATCGACAAGTGGCACCATACTAGGTCGTCCATGCGCGCACATAAACGGAAAGACGCAACCCGCTAGGTTCCTCACCAAAGCCTTACAGTCGTCAATACTGAGCTCATCGTTGAACATGATAGCTGACCGACACGCGCGCGAGTTGATGAGATCAACGAGACCCGATGGGCATGTTGCAAGACGTCTGACCCAGTCGGTGGGGTCGTTTGCTGATGAGCTAGATGGTGTGGGTAGAGGAGGGAGATGTGGATCTTCGGCGTATTTCCAGACTGTTGAGCGGAGGAAGGAGATTAGGACTTTGGGATCGGACTTGCATCGTTCGGATATAACAGTTGGAAGCGTCGTGACGGATAAGACGTACTTATCCTTGTCGGCAGTGCTAGGAATGGATGCAGATACTGTCGTCTGGACGATGTCGTAGAGAATACCCCATGCTGCAAAACGCGCGGCATGCGTTATGAAGTGTGTTCGCTCCTGCGGCGAGATTGCAAACTGCGTTGGCTTCTCCAGCACAACAGAAGCTACATGCGCTTGGTGGCCAAGCTTGGACTTGTATCCAGTTCCCTCTTGCACCGGGATGCAGAGTTGGCTAAGGAGCGACTCAACCTGCACACGCTCATCTGCTGCATGCTGATCGATCAACACAATAAGCCCTGCGCACGTATCTTTTGCTCGTTTTGAATCTTGCATCTTGACCAAGATAAACTTCTTGTCGACCTGCGCAATGACTTGCGCGTCTCGCAGCCCTTCTTTTGACAGTCTACTAGAACCACTCGAAGAAGTCTGGTTGAAAGCTCTGTCGATATCGATGCGAGAACAACCATGTCTAGAGTGATGGTGTCCGTGGTCGACCTCATCTTCGTGCGATGCCGCCTGCTGTATACGCTTTTCGCTCGGCTTGAAGACCGGGTTCTCCCATTTGTCCAGTATGTCATCAAGCCAGGGGGTCTTGCCAACCACAGCCGTCGCAGCCCGTGTCGGTAATCGCATGGACCTGTTCGATGTGTTATGGGATATGGATTCCGAGAGCATAGCTGAGTCGGTACTTGGCCGCGACCGAGCGTCAGGTACGACGCAACCTGTTCTAGCGTTTAGTAGATGCATCTTCTTAGTCGTTGGATCAGTCCACAAGATGGTATCGTCGTTCTCCATGCCATCGGTTTCTAGGCTCTGTGCAGGCGGCGCTACGTCGTCGCGCTGTTTTTGTCCGCTCAGAGCACCTTGAGCTAGTGGCGCTACTTCGAAGTGGGCGAAAGCTTCGGAGTTTGCGCCATGTGAAGTATCGAATGCGGCCTTGGATTTCGGCACGTTCAGAGTGCTGCTGAAGAACTCGGGCTTTCCACTCTTGATGCGTGACCACTCTGCAAAAGCCCTGGAGCGAGACCTGTCGACCAACTCGCGTGACGATACCTTTTCTGGACGTTTTCTCTTGAGAGACTGTGACGGAGTTGAGCTTTGCTTTGGTGTTGCCGAGCGCACTGTTGTATCGTGTCCTCGGAAAGCCATGTTAGTTGTGGGGCTTTCCGTGAATGGCGTGTCGACAGCAGCGTCCTCAGCAGCGCTAGAAGCAGTACCAGGCCGGTCGCGCTTCTTACGAGAATGCCGGGGTCTAAAGTGATGGACCGACAGCCATTGAATTACCATTGCATCCAGGACCTCCATCACGTTCTGTAGGTTCGCTTCATCTCCGATGAACTGATCTTCGGAAACGCTTCTCCTGCGAGCCTCCTTCAACGAGATGCGAAGGTGAAACATGGGATATCTGTCGACATCTTTGCGTGCTTTCAGCTGTCTGTTTGTGTAGCCATCTTGCTTGAAGCGCTTGTCTGTCTGTCGTCGGACTTTCTCCTGCTCATCGATGTCGGCATCTTCCTCAATGGTGCCAAAACTAGACAATGCGAAGAGGCGATTTACCGCATCAAACAGCTCATTGTGACCGGCCTCCGCAGAAAGCGGTCGTATGCCCAGCGAGATGAACTGAACATGCTTGCTGGGTGCTGGAGTTAGTGATATAGCGCCCTTAATCGAGATGGCAGATGTAGAAGCCGACGCTGGTACCCACGACGCCCACTCATCGACGGTGATGTAGTTGGCCTGGGTCAATACGTTGAGGAGTGATGAGAGCTGTGCCGATCGTGGCTTCGCAATCTCACTTTCTTTGCTCTTTGTGGCTGCTTCCACGCCGGATATGCTGAGACTGAGCACCACCCTGTTGTCACCGTCCCGTATTCGAATAGCGACCGGACGCTGCCAACTAAGCAAGAGACTCGTTACGTCCCTCTTCAACCCATCCCAGAGTCTGTCGTGTTCGGCTCTTTGCTCTGAAATTATCGACCGTTGCTTCACGCGCACGGGCATACTGCCGAACAAGTTCCGCACGGTGACGCGGGTGCCATGCTTGCCTGATATCTCGTGATGCGCCGACGCCGGAAGTTGCCTCTCCACGACCTTGGATTGGTGGAACGTTATCGCGTTATGTGAACGGTGTTGGTAGTGGTGCGAGGAAATGGTCAGGAGTGACATAGCAGCGAGTGACGCGAGGAAGGTGCCATTGCGGCCAAGGAGAGGGTCGGTCGCATGGTACTTGGACGTGTCTGTCGCCGTCAATTTTCTATCTAGATGGCTTCCGGCATGTACACATACAGTAGAGCTTGCCCAGGCCTCCTTCTTCGCGAAACTCGAGGGGAGATACGCCGAGACCGTCATCTTCGACCGAGCATCCGCCGCGCGCGAAGTCAATCGCGGCTTCTACCTTGGTCGCTTTCGCATCCAGGGAATTCTTCAGGAGCTCCAGCACAACTCCCGTAAGCGAGACAATTGCCGTCGACGACTTGATTTGGGCGATCACCTCGGCGGGCAGGGGCAGTATAGTTCGCGTGGAGGCATTGGGGATAGTATGTTTGGCGCCAATGGACGTGTTTCGGGTCATGACGTAGTGATAGGTCTGGCGGGCGCCCCCTCTCAGCCCTCGTTGTTTGATGACCCGTGTTCGATCATGTTAAGGGGTCGCGCCGTGATCAGTGTTGAGTTTGGGTGGGCGATAACATGGAGATCTACAGAACATACGCAATCGTGTGTCGTGAAGGGAACATGGCGGCTTAGCGCGGCGGGCGGCAGGTGCGCTGGGGAAAAGGGTCAGGGTCCAGCCGGAGATATGAGCAGGAGCGACCAGCAGCTCCTCGCTCTTTCCCCATCAGCGCAACCTCCCGGCCCCAACCGCGTAACAGACTGCCTCAATCGCCTCCGATTACTGATAGCAGCGGTACGACTTGCTGTCTCGCCGTTCGATAATCGCGCCCGACCGCTTGCGCTGGCTTTCACGACGCACACCGCGCTACCGACAGCCGCGTCCCCATTACTCCAGTAGATTCGACGTGGGATCGTCAGACTAAACGTGGCATCCCGCGCCTAACTAGCCCAACGACCTCCTTCACTCACCACTTGCACTCTATATTTGGCAGCCGGCATAATGGCTACGGCCGAAGCTGCGTCGAGACCCCATGGTACGGTGAACTAGTCTTGCACAGCCATTGTCTCAGACAACTACCCAAATTATATCCTCCCTACACCACGCCCGCTCTCCCCTCGACAAATTATGCTCACCATGCTAACGCGATACAAAGACCGACATGCGCGCAAGCGACCCTTTGCGGGTTGGATGAAGCGCCTGGCCAATCTGAAGCCCTCATCCTCCGACGCCCCAGGCAAGAAGGGCAACACGGTCAAGAAAGGCGCCCCAAAGAACAACCCCTATCCTGAGTCTGGCTACATCAACACCAACGTACCGCCCGCCGACAACTCTTCCGTCACTACCCCGGCCACATTACGATCGCACGACAGCTACACGTCCATAGAGGAGCCCGCGGCCGGACAGCGACAGGCGATAGAGAAGAGCAACAAGTCGACAGCCCCCACGGTCGCCACAGTCCCCGAGACAGTACACTCGTCAAGGTCAAAGGCAGAGACAGGCGGTAGCAACTTTGTCAATGGCGGCAGCACTTTCTCGTCCCCGCATGGCTCAGAGCACTCCCTCACCACCACCCTGACCACCATACAATCGACTGCGCCCTCGAATATCCTCAACCTCGGCCAGGCGCAACCCCAGAACAATGCGACAACCACAAGCACTACGCCCGTGCACTTTTCGCATCAGTTCCCCACCTCCCCGCCGCCGTCAGCCATACCGCCGCATCTGGCGCCCCAGCAGCCGCAGCAGCAGCAGCCCAACTCATATCAGGGCGCCACCGCGAACAACATCCTCACCGATAACGCGTCCATCCTCACACTCGCCTCCTCCTCGAAGCGCCGCCGTCGCAACTCCGTAGATACCAATGCCTCGATGCGCGCACTAGCTCCTTCGTCGCATTACGGCGGCAGTCGCGAATCGCTGCCCCTCAGCGTACTATCAGCGAACCCCGACGCCATATACTCGCCCTCCAGCAGGCCAAGCAACGTCAGCGCCTTTGTAAACGCCGAGCGCGCGAGCGTCTACTCAGCATCCGGCGTCA